GTGTGTGTGTGTGTGTGTGTGTGTGTGTGTGTGTGTGTTTGTTATTTCCAGGGGTGAAACTCTATCAAGAATTGAAAGTGTGATCCTGGGAGTAGTGACCAGTCTGTCCAATAATGAGGCTCCTGTTCTGGTGCTGCCCAACAGATCCAGTTGGGCCAATGTCAGGTAACTTAATTTTAACACATTGTAATATAAAAATATTTCTCTCAGATGGAGTGGGATTCCAGTAAAGGCTTGAACTTTTTCTGCACTTGTTCTTCTGTGACACTTTACAAACACACGTGTACAATTATGCTCTAGTGGGAAGATGAATTTTTTTGTTTCTTTTAATCTTGGTCTTTCTTCTTGTTATCAGACAGAAGTCACAGTCAAGAGACAGATTCACTTTGTGGTGAAATCAAAGTGTAAAACTACATATATTGTGCAGCAATTGTCTGTGATTTTTAGTTTTACTTGTACTTCTTTTTTTGTGTGTGTGTACCTTCTGATTAAATTTGTTGGTAGCTGCTTTTAACTTGTGGTAACTTTTATTAAAGTAGCATTTAACCTACATGTTATACAGTATTAGCTCTAACTGGGCTGCACTGTTCATTTTTTTTGAGAACCACATGCACTTTTGTCTAAGACTGCGTGGAATGAACATCTCCAAACCCTGTCTTCGTTCACCTTTTCATCTTTCAAATCTGCACCTTTAGCCCACACAAGATAATTGTATTTTGTTTAATTTCCTTAGAGAGGAAGTTGTCAGTCAGCACTGATTAGATTTACATAAGCTGTGCCTTTAGCAGACTACAAGATGAACAAGTTTGTTGGGGAAAAAAAAAATCTTTTAACTTTGTCAGAAAAACGGGGAGTAAAAATGCTTCCTGTTCGAAAAAGATAAGGAATTACAAAGCTCAGCACTTACACACAAACACATAAAGAGCCTTAAAATGACGGGGATGCAGAGGCTTCATGCTGAGAACAAAGAGGACTGTCAGGTCCGCTTTAAATCAAAGCTTGTCTCATGTTTAGAAACTTTTAGGCCCAGTCCTTTTAAAAACCTGAGAGTCCTAAAGATGAATCAAGAGGTTTAAGAGGACGTTTCTCAGAGGTAGCCCTCAGGGTCTGAGGAGTTTTAAATTTTCAGGTTGGATTTAAAGCTAAACCCAGTGCGCACAATCTGTCTTTAATGAGTTCCCTCTTTTACATCCTAAGTTTTGACAGCGCCATTGGACTTCAGATGAATTCAGAACATTCTGTCATCTCCATTAGGAGCGACTGCCCTTCATCTGCCACAAAATTTGGTGAGAAGTTGCCTACAAGGTTTCTATTATTTGCATTTAGCTTCGTGTTCAACTTTTTTTTTTTTTTCTGTTTACTTTAGCTGAAAGCTCTTTCCAGCTGTGTAGTTCCTCATGTGGCTTTAATTTGTGTTCATTACAAACGTATCGGTAACTTGCTCAGACGGCAGTAAAAGTCGGATTTAGTTTTAGGTGACAAATTGGAGAGACAGAACATGTTGAAAGAGGCTTTTAAGGATCAGTCCTCCACATGGAAAAGAACTGACTATGTTCTGTTTCTCCCCCTCATAAATGGGATCTAAAACTCAAGATTGTGAGTAAAGTCCAAGTCGTTCTCTCTCTTTGAAGCGCAAATTCTCAAGATCCTCTCTGTCGTCTACAAACTGGTGCAGAGCAACTCGTACGCAACAAAAAGGTCTGTTAATATTGATCCACTTTTCACCAAAGACAAATAAAACTAATCTTATGCACATTTCAACTGTTTCCTTTAAGCAGTTTTAAACATAAATGTGAATATTTCTGTAACATTTGCTCCCACAGGGACATATATTACAACGACACACGGCTGTTTGCGTCCCAGACGTCTGTGGACAGGATAATAGACGACATCTCCTGCATGCTGAAGATTCCTCGCCGATCACTGCATGTGGTAAATGCTCATTTCAATCTGAAAGATGGGTTGCATTATTGTCCGACCGTTTGGCAGAAAACCTCTGAAAATAAAAGCTCGCAGCTAAGTTGTTTTGGGAAAAAAAGCTCAAATCTCACATATGAAATCTGTTAGATTAGTGCTGTGTTTTATTTGTGCTCTGCCTCATATCTCAGGAAACACCTGTGGAGTTCATATGGCTTTACTGATCAAACAAAGGGAGAATTAATGTAGAAGTCAAAAATTTATTGCTGCAGTGTGTGTGTGCAACCTTGAGTTGAATTGTGTTTTTTTTTTTTTTTTTTTTTTTTTTTTTTTTTTTTGTAGTTTGCCACATCCAAGGGTTTAATCTCAGGTGAACTGTGCTATTTGGAGGAGGACGGTACACGGATTGACTGCCGCTCCAGCTCCGCTGTAAGCTCCACCACAAATCAAAACCAACTGCTCCGTAAGAGCAAGAAGTTTTTCTTTTATCACACAGAGAAAAATTACATTTAGGTCGTGGCATAATTTTAAGAAATGCAATACAAATCTTCTCTGTGGCAGGTGGTTTTATTTAGGATATACAGTAGTCCCTCGCTACTTCACGGTTCGTTTATCGCGGTCTCGCTCCATCGCGTTTTTTCAAAATAAAATTGGACATGACTCACAATTGGCTGATTGATGGATGAGCCGCACGATCGGCATGAAATTTTTATTTAAAATAAATTATTTTAAATGATTTAGCATCTGCTGCACATTTGTGCAGCCCAGAGCTGCAGAAAAAGATTAACCCTGCAGCTTTGTGCAGCCCTTACTGCTGCAGGATAAACTTCCTGCTGCAGCTGATCAGCTGTTCAGCATGCAGAGAGGAGAAGTGGGCGTGGCCAAGAGCGCTTGCAGGTGGCAAAGAGCAGAGGAGGCAGAGAGCTGAAATCATGACATTTTGTGCTCTTTTAGAGCGTTTAGAGTTTAGAAACATTGTTTAGAATATTGCAAGAATGTGGAAAGGGTTTAAAATGCCTTTATATACATATATATAAATAATAAAAAATTAACTACTACTAATAATACTCATTCACTTGCCAGTTTTTCACTTATCCTGGGTCTTAAGGGTACAGATCCCCCGCGATAAACGAGGTACTACTGTATTGCAAAATGTCACTTTTTAGGAGAATTTAAAAATGGGTGTGCCTTTTCATACAATTAACCTTCAATATGAGTAAATAAATGAAACCCATAAGCCTGAGACAGAGGAAATCTCTTCCTGGATGGACTTGGAATAAATCAGTGTCATGAGTGCAGAAGGTACAGCTAGTTATGAACCACTCAGCATGTTTTAGTTTCTGTTGCCACTAGGAAACAAAATAACAAGCAAACATGAAACGATCTTATAAAAGTTTAATAAAACCCCAGTTAACTGCTTATTTATATTAATACGCATTTAGTAAATTATGTCTACCTAAAACCCAAAGCATAAACAGTATTATGGTGCGCAATAACCTCAGATTGTATATTATTAATAGGCAGTTTTATTATTGCTGCACACCTACTTGATGGGAATATACAGTGCAAAGTCACACATTTCTTTGTCCATGCATTTACTTTATATAATGTAAAAGTACAAGGACACCACATATTTTAAATGTAAATTTGTGTATGATCAAGACTAGCAGTGTCCAGCCCACCTTCCTGTATATTTTAGAATATCCCACTCCAACACACCAGCACTCATCAAGTTCTGCTGAATCCTGTTAATGACAGATTTGCTTAAATCAGGTGTGATGAATTAAAGAAACATCTAAAATGCCTAATGTTTGTAACAAAAAGTTGTGCTGGAATCCGTTCTGTCTTGCATGTTTTATAAACCTCCTATCTGATTAGCATTTTTTTGCACAAACCTAAACAACCTTTTTTTTTTTTTTTTTTTTTGCTGTTTGTTTTATTCCCCTCATTGGCACTTTTTATTTGGTTGTTTAATGTTAAAATATCAAAGTTCATGCTCAATCATCGAGGTACAAAATCCAATAATGGTCAGTCAGATCATCTGGACAGTTTCTTTTCCGTAGAAAGTCGTTTCCAGATAGAGGGCGAAACGTCTTTCCACAAAAAAGAAACTGTCCAGTTGACCTGATTGACCGTTATTGGGTTAATGTTAAAATGTTTCACGTTATTCCTGCATATCTTGGCCTAAAGTTGCTCTCCGCTACTACAGAGGGCTTCACTGTAAATTAAACAAACTTTAAATCGCTTATCTGTGGTCATCCATTTTGTTTTCAGGCTATTCCAGTTTCATCAAACATCAGTGGGATCAGGAGTATCCTTCATTATTTCACTCAAAACATGGATTCTCTATTTTCTTTTCAACAGTATAATGTGTGTTTCATTGCAGTTTGTGTGATATATATATATATTTTTTTTTTCCTCGACTGCACTCAGATATCGTATCATCTGCAAAATTTGTCCTGATCGTTGAAAAAGATGCAACGTTCCAGAGACTGCTGGATGATGACTTTTGCACAAAGATGTCTCCTTGCATCATAATTACAGTTGGATGACTTTTTTCCTTTCTTTGTTTTTTTGTGAAACCACTGCTGTTGCGGATGTAACCTAACTTGCATTAAACGTATCACGTTCCTGTGGGTCAGGGTAAAGGTGTGCCTGACGTGAACAGCAGGTTGATGGTGAGAAAACTTTGGGACACGCTGCACATCCCCACCTTTGCTCTGGTGGACGCTGACCCTCACGGTATGGATGATTTGTCTGGCTGCAAATCAGTGCAAACACACACACTTCACATAGATCACCACATTATCCCATCTTTCCGTTCATCTTCACACACTTGTTGCATGTCATAGTACGTACATATTACATACTAGTACATATTAATTGCATGTCTTATTAGCTCCTGTCCAGAATGCTCTGGTGTGTTTTGGCATTGTTCAGGTGGGATGGCTCAGTTTCCTCTAGTCTCCGTACCTTTGGATTATTTGTTTTTTTTTTGTCACGGCGAGGCACAGATGTAATGCTTGACTTTGTTGTAAGCTCTGGTACACATCTAGGGAGGTAATTACTCTGGTATGTCTGTGATTGCAGCTTGTCTCTGTCTCTTCCTTTGATTTTTCTTTTAGGCATTGAGATCATGTGTGTCTACAAATACGGATCGGTGGTGAGTTTCTTTATGCCAGTTATTTATGTTCTCTACTTTGTCTGCTCTGGCCTTTTCAGTGTCTTTCTGTTGGCAGAATGTACTTATGATGCCCCGGCTTTTTAATCTGAAAAGGCCAATTAAACCTTTCCAAACATCTGACCTGTTGTTATAGAGAGTCCTACTTGCTTTACCCTGCACTCACTGAACACTTTGCTAGGCACAGCTCTGATTATCTGTGTGTTTATTGGAGACATTTTGTATGGCTGGGTGTGTGAATGTGGGTTTTCTTTCTCCACAGGCAATGTCATTTGAGGCCCACAGTCTGACCGTCCCGAGCGTTATGTGGCTAGGCCTCCTCCCCTCCGACCTGCAGAGGTTTGGACTCAACCTTCACAACTTCCTACTTCCTTCTGCTGCCTCCAATTGGGATTGTATTCTGGGGACATTTAGAGTGTTTGTTTTGGTTTCTGTTGCCGCTTAACTCTTTTTTTTTTTGTTCCTCTCAAGGCACTTTGTTAGGAGTATATGGTGTTTTAAGTATACATCAACTCGAGCAAATTTAGGAGAAAAGGCATTTTAAGATGCATGTAATTGCAGTGTCTACAGTCTTTTTTTTTTTTTTTTATCTCCACTTTGATTGTTGAAAATGCAGAAACAATGTTGGTTGTATCATTTTTAGGTTAATTAGTCAAATACTATAAAATCAAACTGTCTGTTTTAGGTTACGAGTTCCCGAGGAGTCCTTGATTCCCCTCACCAAGAGAGATGAAAGCAAACTGAACAGTCTGCTGAAGAGATCGTACTTAACCAACCAGCCGGAATGGCAGAAAGAGGTGAGTGAAGAAAAAAATAAATTAAACAAGATAGAAATTAATCCTGAAATCTGATGTAGGGTAGATTTATTTTTGAACTGGTACATGGTAAAGTCTAGTTTAAACAATTATAATTATTTGAAAAATTGAGTAGACAATACTGTGAAGATTAGCTGTAATAAATGCTATGCAAACCTCCAGGCTGAAAAAAGTTTTCTTCTGAAGAGTAAAATTTATATTAAACAAAAGGAGCAAAAATGCTGGGAACTTTATTTTTAACACAACAAAAAGTCCCTGAGCTTTAAAAAATCTTTTTGAAAATGCTTCTGAGTCTGAATATTTAGATAAAAAAGTTATTTCCTAAAAGTCTACATGTTTGCAATTGTTGTTTTTGCTCTATTGTATTTCTTAATTCCCATTTATTCATTCAACCTTTATTTGTACAGGTTAGTCTCATTGAGCCTCAGGGACTCGTTTACAAGCAAGACCTGATTTTTTTATTTATTTATATATATATATATATATATATATATAAAGAATGATGACAACAGTAGACAATCATAAAAGAAAGCTTATAAATTGAGAAGAATAAATTCAACAAAAATTAAAGAAAATTGTATTAAATAAGTTAAACAAAAACAGCTCTATTGTAAGGCGGTGTAAAATACTAAAAACAGGAACATGTCTGTGTTGGTTTTTGTCAGGAACTTAACAGATGTTTGAAGCCACTTTTAGAGAGGTCAAGGTCGAGAACTTCAGATCTTTTTACAAGATGTTCCAGGAAACAGGAGCGGAGTAGGAGAAGTCCCTTTTGTCAAGTTCTGTCTATACTGAGGGAACACTGCGTGTAATAATGTCCTGAGAGCGCACGCTGTAGCTGCACTCACACATGTAGGAGGAGATGTATGAAGGCAGCAGACCAAGAAGTGATTTAAAGATGAAAATGTACCAGTGAGAGAGTCTGAGTGAAGTTAATGGTGTTCAGTGAACCAGTGAATACAGGGTGCAGTGGTGGGTATGATAGTTACAGTCAGTTATGAATCTTAGTGCACCGTGATAGATGGCGTCCATTATCTGCAGGGTGCTTGTAGGAGCGTTCATGTAAATAATGTCACCATAGTCAATGGAGGGAAGGAAAGTCAGTTACAAGGTGTTTTCTAGCATTCAGAGTTAGACAGGATCTGTTTCTGAAAAAGAAACCCAGTTTAACTTTCAGTTTCCTTACCAAGTTTTCCACGTAGAGCTTAAAAGAGAGATGCGAATGAACCAAAATACTCAAATATTTGTAGGAATCGACAAGCTCAATAGGAGCACCACTCAAAGATAAAATCGGGAATAACTGCTGGGATCAATTTCCTGTTTGAAGACAACATCCCTTTGGTTTTGTCGGCGTTTAGGACAAGTTCGAGATGGAACAAATCTGATTGAATGATGTCAAAAATGGATTACAAAAGCTGGAAAACCTTAGTAACTGTTTTAGCTCGACAATAAACAACTGTGTCATCAGCATAAAAATGTAAAGATGCATCAGGGATGGTCTGACCTAAATTACTTATGTAGATTGTGAAGTGGGTGGGTCCAAAGACTGAGCCTTGTGGTGCACCATTGTTAACCGTTAAATAACTGGAAGAAATACCATTATGTTGAACATATTGCCTCTGATCTGAGAGATAGATAGTGAACCAACCAATGGTGTGATTGTGATACTGTATATGGAAGCCACTTGTTTTATTTCATTCAACCTTTTATTTATACAGATAATCACATTGAGCTCCAAGACTCATATACAAGTGAGACCTGTTTGGACAGACAAGAAGCCAAGAGAGGACTTGCATAGAGATGAGGGCTGTAACGGTACACATGTCATGACTCTGTGTTCAAGTCATGATCTGATACATTTTGTGGTACAGATACACTAAGATAAACAAATGTATTGCTCATACTTTTAGACACATATGGTTGATAATTTGGAGAAGTTGTGGATGACTGTAGCTAATACTTGCCTATTTAAAGCTGGTATGATTTGCAGACTTTATTACTGACGAGAGGGAACTTGGGGTTGTTACTTTCAGACGTTTTTGACAACAGCATATGGCCACATGTCTGCTGCTTTGAAAACTTTGGCATTTGTTATGAACTTGGTCCAGTCTGTGTTGTTGGTGAAGAGCTGTTTGAAAGCTCCAGGTAGCTAGGTTTGGACTTTAGTTAGTATTTTCTACATGCCAGTGTACGTTCAGGTGAGGCTGTGGCATGTGAGTAATCAGGTTTAATGTGGAACCAGCTACACACAGTTTAATAACGACACCATAAAACTTTTGTATGAGCTACCTTACTTTCTTAAAAAAATATATAATGTTCCCTAACAGCATGCATGACGGTGAGGAATCTCCAAGCTCTGGTCTGTCTGTTCTCCATGCTGTTCTTGTTGCTGAGTCACTTCACGTGTGACTTTTTAAAGTAGCACAAGGAGTGTAGAGGTCTGCACATAAACATTCTGGATGTGCACACGTTTAAAACCACATATGCCAAACTAAAAGGTCCATAATGAACGTTTTTGGTGTGCCGTTCCACTCTAATCTAACTATAAATGTATTTTTTACGTTCTTTCCATGTGCTGTATTGACTTACTTATTTTACTGTGCTCTTCTTGGTGAATTTTTATTTTTTTTTACTTAAAAAAATCATGTTTTCTTTTGGTTATTAGAAAATATTTCAACTAATCACAATGAAACGATTTACTGCTGCAGCAGTCAGGACTTGTGCTGACGGTGGATTGGAGCAGAAAATGTCCCATCAGAGGAACATCCAGCACTGATTAACTCATTGATGCAGACCATCTCCAAGTGTCATGACAGGGATACTAAATGTGTAAACTAGTATACACATTAATAAACTAGCAAACTAGATGGGACACAACAACACTCATATTTACACCGTAATAGTCTCGTTTCTGAGGAAAAACTGCCTTCATTTTAGATAACGTCATGTTTTCTCGAGACAATGAGCTGCAACGAGTTTGGTTAACTGGTGTTGCTGATAAAATCACATCAGCAGGTATGATCGTCAACCTCCATGTCCATTCACTTCATTTCAGATTTGATTGTGTTAGATGTTATTTCATCGTGTCTGGCATAACTGTAGAGCCCTTTGTTTAAGATTTTTTTTAAAGAAGCTATGTACAGTATATACGTGTGACATTCACACTAGCATCATTCATGTGAGACACAGCAGAGGAATGAGTGTGACCACTCTCAGATCACTGATAGTGAGGACCTGGGATGTTTCATCGTGGCTGTTAAACACCTAATGATCCTCGCGTTAAACCAGCTTCCTCTCACGGGCTCCTTACAGCTGTTTGTTTGCTCTTGCTGCAGCTGGAACTGATGCAGCAGAGTAAGGTCAAGGCTGAGATTCAGTCCCTGGCTGCCATAGATCCTGACTTCCTCACCAACATCTACCTGCCTAACAAGCTTCTCTACGGAGGCTGGGTTTGAGCACGAAGCTGCTGCTCTGGGATAATATGTGAACTGCTGACCACGTCACCTTGTTGGATAGACTAAAAAGTAACCACCCATGTTTGTTTGGAATATTATTTCAGAATATATATTTACTTTTGTTTGTGTACTACAACCTTCTCAGAAATGTACTGTATTAAAATCTGTGAGATTGCTTTGACCACATAAAGTACTGTTTGTTTTTGCATCATTGTTAGGGGGTTAAAACATGCAGCACTTGTTAGTCAGTACCATGTTCAGGGGGGAAACTTGTTTTTTTTGTTTATTTTTATTACAGAAAAAAACATTTCAACTAATCCTTTTTATATGATTTTAAAAGCCCATTGTCAATGTTTCTAACATGGACCTACTTGAGTTACAGTAGTCCCTCGTTTATCGCGGGGGTCTGTACCCTGAAGCCCTGCGATAAGTGAAGAACCGTGAAGTAGCGAGGGACTACTGTATTGCGCTTTATATTAAAAGCTCTAAAAGCTTTTATTTTTTAATCCCAAAAAATGGGTATAGAGGTACTTTAAAAGTGTCTTTAAATAATAATAAAAATTACCAATATTTTCATGAAAGAAATACAGTATTCATTTAATTAGGTTAAGTGGAATATTATAAAACTTAAAAGTCCTGCTTTTATTCTTTAAAATCAAATCTGTGTTGGCACCAGATTAAAGTAACCAAACTAAAACGTTTTCTTTGTGCACTGGTCTTTGTAAGTACATGCAGCACTGATGGTGTGGTCGAGGTCGAGCACATTTCAGATGCTTTTAGATGATTACCTGCAGGAAGTCATATCTGAAACGTTAGTGCTGTTTGGAGCGGTGTATGAGTAAAAAGTAGTTTCACACCTAAATCAGCTGTGGCAAATTTGTTATTATATTATGCTAATAGCACTCTACAACATGTTGCATGCTAACTTTTGAAGCTAACCTACAGGTGCATCTAAAAACTTATAATATTGTGAAAAAGTTCAATTTTTTTTGTCAGCCATTTCAGAAAGTGAAACTCATATATTACATAGATTCATTACACAAATAATGAATCTAAGGCCTCCCTGGCAAAAGATCTGATCTCAATGGGATTTGCCTGGTTAAATAAAGGTTAATAAATAAAATATTTTAAGCCTTTATTTCTCGTCATTTTGATGATTCTGGCTTACAGATAATGAAAAAACAAAATTCTGTGTCTCAAAAAGTTAGACTATCATGAAGAGGTTCAATATTTTGAACTCCTGGTGTCCCACCCTGATCAGCTGATTAACTCCAGACATGAGCTACAAATGTCTCGTTCCTCAAGTCCAGCCACTCCTGAACCAGAGACCATGTCAGAAGCATCTTACCTGCTGAGGACAAAAAATAACTGGACTGTTGCTCAGTGATTCAACATCCTCTTTTCAGATGAAAGTACATTTCATGTCATTTGGAAATCATGGTCCCAGAGTCTGGAGGAAGAGTGGAGAGGTCCAGAATCCATGTTGCTTGAAGTCCAGCATGAAGTTTCCACAGTCAGGGATGGTTTGGGTCCATGTCCTCTGCTGGTGTTGGTCCACTGAGTTTTCTGAAATCCACAGTCAGTGCAGCATCTACCAGAACATTTTAGAGACTTCATGCTTCCTTCTGACGAGTTTTATGGAGATGATTTAATTTTCCAGCAGGACTTGGCTCCTGCTCACACTGACAAAGGCACCAAAAGCTGACTGTGGAATATTATAATTTACTTAAATTAGTTTTTTCATTATAAGTCATAGTCATCAAAATTACAAGAAATAAAGGCTTGAAATATGTCACTGTGCTATTAATCTATTTAAGATGAGAGTTTCACTTTCTGTAATAACAAAAAAATTGTAATTTTTCATGGTATTCTAATTTTTTTTTTTAGATGCACCTGTAATCATGTGTTTAATAGAGTGGCAATTAAAATTAGTGCACTGTTGATTTTACATAATTATTTGTATTAATGTAATTTAATGTTTCCTCAGTGTAACACAGGAACCACCGGTTTATTTTGAAGAGAGAACAAATGATCAGATTAAAGGAGCCGAAGCACCATGGCGCCACCTGGTGTCAGCTTTGAAATTAGCTGATCGATAAAGGAGTGATCAAAAACTTCATTATTGTGTTGCTTTTGTTTTTTGTTTGTTTATTCTTATTGTTTAAATATTCCCGCTGATAACTTTGTTTTTGTATAAATAATATTTTAATTAACATTCTGGGATTGTACCCTGAAAGCTTTCCTCTGGTCATGTCTTAGATTGTCACATTTTGATCTTCAGTGTAAACATTTAGTTAATTTGAAATAAAATAGTATTTCCTGCCAGAACTACATAATTAGAACCAACAGAATATCATATATACACACACACACAGACCCTTTCCAAAAAATTAGAATATCATGGAAAAGTTGTTTAACTTCCATAATTCCATTCAAAAAGTTCATCTTTAATAGTTGATAGATTCAGGGCCCACAATTTAAACAATTTCAAGTATTTATTTGTTTATTTTTACATAATTTTGCCTTCCAGCTCATGAAACCCACGAAAACAGGAATTCAAAAAATTAGAATATTGTGAAGACATCAGCCCACACTACTCAGTTTTTGCAATAAAATGAAATAAATTAGGATCACAACAAATCAATCAAAATATAGTACTTTCAAAATAATATGTCAATCTTCAATACTTGGTTGGGAATCCCTTTGCCTTAATCACTGCCTCGATGCGACGTGGCATTGAGGCAATCAGCCTGTGGTATTGACTGGGAGTTATGGAAGCCCAGATTTCCTTGATGCTGTCAGCTCTTCTTTGTTGTTGGGTCTGGTGCTCCTCATTCTCCTCTTGAGAATACCCCATAGATTCTCAATGGGGTTTAGGTCCAATGAGTTGGCTGGCCAGTCAGGCACTGTGGCATGGGCATCAAACCAGGTCTTGGTGCTTCTGGCGGCATGGGCAGGGGCCAGGTCCTGCTGGAAGATGAAATCTGCATCTCCATACAGATCCTCAGCAGAAGGAATCATGAAGTCCTCTAAAACATTCTGGTAGACTGTTGCTGTGACCTTGGATTTAAGAAAGCAGAGTTTACCAACACCTGCACTGGACATTGCACCCCAAATAATGACTGACTGTGGATATTTCACACTGGACCTCAAGCAGTATGGGCTCTGTTCCTCACCCTTTTTCCTCCAAACCCTTGGACCTTGATTTCCGAATGAAAGGCACACTTTCATCAGAAAAGAGGACAGAGGAACCCAACATTTGTAGCTCATCTCCCAGATGTGTCTGAATGTGATGGTTTTTGAAGCTGTGACTCCCGCCTCATTCCACTCTTTCTGGATCTCTGCCAGATTCTGGAATCTTCTCTTGTTTGATAATCCGCTGAAGCCCATGGTCATATCTTGCTGGTGCATCTTCTCCTGCCACATTTTGCCCTTCCACTAGATTTTCTATTGATGTGTTTGGACACAGCACTTTGTGAACAGCCAGCCTCTTTAGCTATGAACTTTCGTGGCTTACCCATCCTATGGAGGGTATCAATGATGGTCTTCTGGCCAGTTGTTATGTCTGTAGTCTTCTCCTTATTGAACCAAACTGAGACAATTCTTCTTCTTAATGGAGTTTTATGGCGGTTGGCAAACAATGGAAGGTGTGCATTACTGCCACCTACTGGTGTGGAGTGTGGATCAAAATGGCGATGTCTGTTTATATTTTCTTGTCTAATTTTGTGTTTCTAAAACAATGTATAATAATTTGAATACTTTTACTTCTTATTTCCTTTTGTATTATATTTATTGTACTAAATGTTTCTTTGATTTTTCCTAATTGTTCTATCACACGTCTTCTGTGACTTTCATATTTCTGACGGACCAAAATGACATGTTCTATTGTTTCCTCCTGTCCACAGTGCTCACATTGTCCTGTATCATGTTTCTGAATCTTGTGTAGTGTGCTGTTAAGTCCGGTATGTGCAAATCTTAATCTGGTTATTAGTCTTTCTTCTCTTCTGTTCCTCCCTCCTGTTATCGTTTCTCCCACTTGTCTCTGAATTCTGTAGTGCCATCTTCCTTTGTGCTCTTCTTCCCGCTCCAACATTTTTCAGTCAGGTCATCTGGACAGTTTTTTTTTATTTATTTTTTTGTGCTGAAACGTTTCGCCTTCGATCCGGAAGGCTTCATCAGTCAAAGAAACACACAACAAAACTGATTCTTCCCCCAACAGCTTACTCCACGCAGAACTGGTTTGTTCCACTTTGGAGTAAGCTGTTGGGGGAAGAATCAGTTTTGTTGTGTGTTTCCTTGACTGATGAAGTCTTCCGGATCGAAGGCGAAACGTTTCAGCACCAAAAAAAAGAAACTGTCCAGATGACCTGACTGAAAAATGTTGGATTGTGTACCTGGATTATTGGGCATGGACTTTGTTGTCTTCTTCCCACTGTTTTTGCCATTTTTTCCTTTAGTTTTTGTTTCACTATGGTTCTTACTTCTGATTTACTGATGGATATTGTAAAATTGATTTGATCTTTTGTTGCTGCTTCATTCCCTCTGACCCCTAGATGTGCTGGTGTCCATAAAAATATCACTGTCAGTCTCATCATTTGTATTCTGAATAATATTTGTTGTAGTTCTAGTAAAATGTCCGGTCGGCTATCTGAATGACTATTTTGCAAACTGATGAGTGTTGAGCTCGAGTCTGAACAGATGATTGTTTTTAACGGTCTTGTTTCTTCCACCCACTGTACTGCAACAGTACTGCCAACATCTCCCATGTGTACTGATACTTCATTTGTGATTCTTTTCCTTACTTCTATGTTGAATTCTGGTATTACATATGACACTCCTACTTCCTCTGATGTTTTTGATGCATCTGTATAAATCTGTATATAGTTATAGTAGTTATTGATATGGTCCTGTACTGTATATGAGTTAAAAATAAATGTTCTGTCTTTTTTCTTGTCCATGAGTGTCAAGTCAACAGTTGCATTTGGAAGAAGCCATGGTAA